TCCAAAGCAAATTATTGCATTGCTGGGTAAAATATTTGTATGTGTATATATACCTAACCCAGTCACTATTGTGTGTAATGCTGCTTGGATTCCTTGGGAATGAGAACTCTTCATATAAAAAAAGGATTCTAAGGTGTTGTCTTATGTGTAACATCAATAGTAAGAGCTGTTCCTAGAGAAGCAGGGTTTGGTATAACCCAGTCCAAAAGAAACTGCTGTGCAAAGTCACTGCCAGCATGAAGTGGTTTCCATTGCAAAATAGAGTTTAGGAACTTCAGCCCCTAGATAGCAGCTGGCTAAACCTTTGATTTTTCTATCACTGCATTGTTGAGATATGTAGTTGAAAGCCCCTAAGGAGACATAATAACCTTTCTGCAGGGGATTAAATTCCTCAGTATGACTCCCTTGCCTGGAAGGGTAGCGGGAAAGTAAGGCACTTTTTCTAGACTGTCAAAATAAACTTGGCAAAAGGGCTAGAAAATTCTAGTAGCTCAGACGTGCGTGCAGCCACCGCTTGCCCTTCTGCCTCTCATGGCCTACAGACCTTCATGACGCTGCCATCATTGCGGTTCATCAAAAGGGGCACGAAAACTCCTCTTGTCTCTGCCTTGAGATGTGACCAAGAAGATGAGGGTGATGAAATAGCACCCAGTGTCACAGGGCAGGAATGAATCCGTACCCTCGCTGGCCTGAAGGCCACGCTTAGCCCAGCGGCCGTGCAGGAAAGCGACCAACCAGCGGACAAAAGGGTTTGGCCACTCGCTCCATGCCCGTGCTGGAACTCATCACACACATACAAATGTCAACTACAGAAGATATCCTTCAGGATAATCTCTCTCACAAAGCTGCTTAACATTTTAGTAATATGCAGTTCACTTTCAAGTGTCAAAGGATTTCAGCTTCTCTCATCTCTGTTCAAAGGCATCTTCCTCATCTGGCTCTGCAGTGCTGCTCCCCAGCCGTGGCCACTTCCAGCTCAGATTTACCTGCAGAGAAAGTAAGGACAGGATCACAGAACTGCGTTGCTTAATCTCTAAGTGTTGTAACTTAATTCTGGCAAGACAAAGTGACGCCAGTGCAGGACCGTTCGTTCTCTTTTCACCGAATTCAGTCGTGCTTAAGAATTTTCACACCTTTGCCATTTCTCGTTTGTCTTTTACAGTAAACCTTGGGTGCTGAGCCTGACCTGGCCTTTTGCCTTTGCCTTGAAACAGGAAGGATGTGATTAGGAACGTGGAGGAGAGAGGAGAGTATTGCTTCCAGTGAGGTACCTGCCTTTTGTTGAACAGAGAACTTAATTTTCATGTCAGCAGAAAATGAAAATCCCCTCCCAGCAGTACCAGTAATAGGGCCAGCTTCCTCTGATTCAGCCAGAGGGAGGTGATAGTGAATCAGTGGTGTGATGGTTGCATCAGGGTTATAATTGGGACAATTAAATGAATAAGGAGAGCTGGCTTGAAAGCTGTTGGAGTGGAGGAAGGCTCATCTGAGACATTCTCATCTGAATGTCTCAGGATTGCCTAAAGGGGAAATACAGCAGGATATCGAGCTTTGTGCACAGGAGAACAATTCTTGATTTGTGTAGATCAGCTTCAAAAGAGGCAATGAAATTCAAGGCTATGAATTTCTGATCCCTTTGCTAAGCCTTGTTCCAGTGTCAAGGATGGAAAGGAAGATTAGGGAAAAATAGCTATTAAATGCAGAAAATGATCACTGATTCCCTAGAGGGAGGCTTTGTAGGGTGGCTGGTTGGGAGATTACAGTGGGATGTCACTTGAATGCTGAGAGTTTCTCAGGAGACAGACATGGCTTGAACACAGCACATGGAACAGGACCCCTTGGCATCATTCCAACCTGTTTCATATCACTCCTCTCTGGTCTGATTTCCAGAAGTATCAAATATGCACAATTCATTACAGCCAGAGGGATACAGCGCTCTATTCTTCAACTCCAGTGTGCCTCAGTTTACTTGCGTGTTAAATTGTCTCCAAAACACTTACAGGTTAGTGGTAGCGAGCTTTGGCCTGTGTCCACCTTAGTGGCATGCTGTGATTTACAACATAGAAAGGTCAGAGGGAGTTTCCTCTTTGGCACTAAAACAGAGGTGCTCTGGAAGCTCACCTGGAGAGCTCCAACTGCTTTTAGATATACATGGGACCAGTCTAGAGCTAGTCTGAAGTAAGTCCCCTCCTTCTCCAGAAGTTCACATAGGATGAACATAGGACCCTGAGCACCAACTCATTTGCTCTCCGTATCTCTGAATACGTAGCCCTGCTTCCCGAGGAAAACATAGCTTCAGTTTAGCAGCTATTCCCTCAAGGCACATTTCTGTAAAGCCAGTTCACCACTAAGTTGCAAAGTTTAATCTGACCCCATTCGCTCGTGGTTCAATGATTTAAGCTGGTTTCAGCCAAGAGCACCCACGTGCACTTAACACAGTGCTCACTCATTGAAGTGGTATCACTCCTGGGCTTAACATGTGCTTGAGTGCTCTGCTGGCTCGCAGCCTTTTCCTCTGGCTGGGCAAGCGAGCAAGCTGGAGGTCCTGGGGCAGGTCCCCGTTAGCGTGATGGTGCCTGCTTCAATTTGCCAGGCAGTTGGAGCTTTCCTGACCCTGACCCAGCTTTGCATAGAGGTTGTCCACATTATTGCCGCTGATGCTGTGCTAGACCTGCTGCTGAAGAGACAGGCCTCCAGACACCTTTATTGAACACTCCACTCCGTTAAAATCGATGGAATAATTAGACCACAGAGTCCAGACCAAAGGTCGGGAGGCTCTGATTTTTCTTGCAGCAGCTTTGGTCCCGGTCTTGTTTTAGTGTGAGGATTGTGAGCAGAGTCAATTCAGGTAGGCCATAAAAATGTTATGACTACTGATATTAAACTGACTGGCTAATGAAACGAGTGCATAACAAGGTGTCCTGGTATAGAGGTGAATTCTTTTCTGTGCTCATTTCTTTGACACCTCAAAAATGAGCTGGTGAACTGGGTACAATGCAGGCTGTGCGAGCGTCCTGGAAGGCAAATTGCAGAAGATCCTCAAATAGGAGAGCAGCTCTACCCCTGTCAGCTCTAGCTGTGGCAGGGCTGGAAGGATGTGAGAGAAGTGCTGGTGCTGGACTATGGAACCAGGTAGAGCACATCCCCTCTCGTTCCCCCTACCTGCTTTGTCCCATGGCCCAGAAGTTAATTTCTGTCACTCAGTCACATTCCTGTTGCCTTCAGCGTTTCCGGTCTCAAAGCTTATTAGTTTCTCTTCCATGTTGCTGTCAGCAGCACCTCTCTGGTACGGGCTCTGTTCCTGCAGGACCACGGGGCAGGAATTAGCCTGGGACCACTGGTTCCTTTTCACAATCAGTTTTGCATGACCCATGTGGCTCTGATTTGCTTACAGAGCATTCAGCTCTGTTGGAAGGGGCCAAGGGCTCAATGCTTTGCCCCAGCTCTTCATCTGAAGGATACTCTTCTCCGTGAGAGCTCTGAGGAGGTTGGGAATAAAAAGTATTAAGTCCACATTAAACTGCGATGTAAATCCTCTCA